TATATATGTTCTCTATGAAAAAAAATTTGAGAACATGATGCTGAAAAAGCATGTTCTCTAAGTATAATAGCAAAATTCTAGATAGAAATAGAAACTCCGAAATTACTTGAAAGGAAAATAAATAAACATAAAATATGAGAAAGGTTGGAATAAAAATTGGAACAAATGTCTGATAGTTTCCAAAAATAGGGAGTTTAATAATTTTAGCGTTTAAATGTTGAGAATATAAATAAAATCTTGAGAACACTAAATCAAAGAAATATGTTCTCATGAGAACATAAATTTCAAAACAGATTTCCAACACTGGTGGCAGTATCTGCTTGAGATATGAATTAGGTTTATAGAAAAATCTGGAGTTGGGTTAGAAAGAAAAATAACATTAATGCATAGTCTTACAGTAGAAATATATAGATGTTGTTCTTGTATATAATTTTTATTAACATAGCATAAATTATAATAGTGCATATCTATTTCTTATATGTGTTAGGTTTGCCTGTCTTTTTTTTGCTTTTTCATCTTTTTCCCTTTATGTATAGATAGAGTTTAGGGTTTTGTTTGATTCTTGTTTGTATATACTTTAAATTTTTAGTCTTTTATAAATTTTAATATTATTTTCTTCCCTTATACAAATGTAAGAGATTTAACTATTCTGCCAAGATCTAGGTAGAAAAAGTTTTACAGGAAGATGAGTGATCTTGACAAGGTAGAAACAACCTGTTCATGATCAAGAAAGTACTCTTAGTCAGTATAAAATTCGACAAAAGTATTAAATCCTGAGTGAGACTAATAGTTGTTTTAGCAAGTCACATAGAGCATTTTGCTTGGTGAGTTTTTATTAGATTAAAACATTACACTTTAAGAATGCAAGTACTTCGTACTTTTATTAATGAGTAGTTTCAATGAATAAAGACAAGATTGCTTAAATATATATATAAAATAAAAAATGAGCCACCTGTATGGACTTTTCCTCAATTTGGATCGATGTTAGTTTATTATATTTCATTACATTTTATGGAAGTAAATTCACAAATATCGTATAGCACTGCATACAATATCTCTAATAATAATTAATCGTGATTAAACTCTTGAATTATATACGTGGATAATTTATTAATTTATGATATATCCCATATAAAATACTTATTTAAAACTTTGGTAAGAACCTGGATACGTATTATATGCAGTGCTTTATGATACTAATACGACATTTAACAAATTTTATAAAACTTACCTAATTTTTTACTAACACTTTAAATACTGTTCTCTAAAAAAATATTACTATGTTTTCAATGAGCATAAATTTTCAATATTTGCACTTCAAACTTATATATATCTTCGATTACTCATATACAAAACATCTAAATTATATCCACATCTATTTTCTGTTAATTCTTGCAGAATTTCACATGTAGACACTATAAAATAGATCTATACCAAAAAGCAAAATACAAATACGAAAAAAAAAAACAGTTTATGAAAAAAACATAAACCAATCTTCAGAAAAACCTAGTCAATGGCAAACTGGTAAATATTGTGGATTCAAGGGTAGAAGCTGGACATTCTTATTTGTCTTAAGCTGAACTAAAGTAATATGATTATGTCCACTGCATTGCAGAATGATTGGTTTTTTGCGACGGCCAGGTTTTTTACTAAATGGTAAAAAAAAAAGCTTGTAGCTGGATCTGCGCCAAATATCACAACTGGTACATTAAAGGTATCTGATGCCAGTTGTGCATATTCTGGTATATAAAACCAGTAATTTCGTAAGCATTCTGGTTTTATATATGATAAAACATCTACAAGTTGGTTAAAATCATATCTGAGTATATCTTGATATATTTCTTCTTGCTTAACTAAATAGTCTTTCATAGAAATTTTAATGTCTCGCCATCTTTCTTCATCTTTTAAAATGGCTATGGCTAAAGATCTAAATCCACAATGACTATCACCAACTGGATCATGAACTTTCAAAATTATGTCTTGAGGAACTTGTGAACTAGTATATACTTCAGGCAAATATGATTTAACTACGCTATTTGAACTTTGTCCAATAGTACTTTTTGGTGGTCGACCGTGTTTAATTGGTAATATTTTAACTTTATCATTATTAACCATGTTACTAATACTAGTTGTTTTAAGAGCAATAAAATCATTTTTTTTAATTTTTGTTTGATAAAAGATTTCTTCAAAAGTAACTTATTTTCTTTGTTTTCATCTGCACTATGAATACGTTTATTGTTTGTTGGCTTACTACATGAATGCTTAATTTCTGGCATCTGGATTTTATCATAGCTTGCAGTATTTTTAATATTAATTGTTTCAAAAATTGCCTTTGTATTTATTTGGTCTCTTTGTGAAAGTTTTGGCATTTCTCCATACTCAGTGATGTATTCTGAAACTTGCTGTATCAAATTTGAAAAAGCACTATAGTGATGTGTTAGAAAAGCTGTTCAAAAATTTGTGTGATATAAGAGGAGGCAGCATTCTCCATTTCTATATGATAATGCACATTACAGCCTGATGTATCTTACTTGATAGCACGTAAGTATGTAAATGAAATAAATAAACTACAATAATATGCCGGCATGAAGTTCTAGTTCATCGTGGGTGTAAGCATGTACAGGTGCTAAGTGATAAAATATTTACTATATATATTTGACTAGGCTCATTATCAAAGTGTAACACATTATAAACATTATTATCACTTTCAAATATTTTATAAATATTAGATTTAGCAAGTTCTTCTTGTGGTTTTATAAATGTTATGAATGCAAATCGTGAGTACACTAATCTTAGCTTTTCTAAACCAGTATCTGTTCCATCATGTGTGTATTTATTTTGATGTATAAATGTTTCATATGCTTGTTTTTGAGTGAATTCTTGCATTTGTTTCCAAAGAATTGAAAATAACTTGTCAATTGGTGTAACTCAATTTTTGACACCTTTCAATTTACTGTGCAAACTCTCAACACGTTGACTTGATCTTATGTCAAGATTTATGTTGCATTTTGTATAAGGTGCAAGCCAACTTGTTTTATGTGGTATCCATGTCTCGCACATATATACTTTTGCATTTGGAAATTGATTCCATAACAATTTAAGCTCTTGCTCAATTTGGTTTTTCTGAAGATCGCTATAGACAAGTTTTTGAACAACCTTAGTAAATTCATCAATATCAACATCCTTTTGAAATTTATTTCTAATATTTTTAAAATGTGCCATGTACACAACTGATGCCTCACACAAGAAAATATATTGGAAATTGCTTTCATTAGAGCTAATTCCTGATCAGTCATAATTGTTTCTACTTGTGCATTACTAGTAAATACAACTAGAACTTGACTTAGTTGTTGTAGTACCCAACTGTAAAAATCTTGTGTTTCTGAGTATACAAGTGCGAATACTAATGGATATGTGGACCCAAATCGATCAATGCTACAAATTGCTATTAAAGGCATTAAAAACCTATTTGTTTATCATATATATTTGTGAGAAATTAAAAAAGTTTAAAAAACAATTAAAAATAAAAAAAATAAAACCTATTCGTTTTATAAGTAGCATCGATAATTAAACCATCTTTTCTACTTAAAACTCTGAAATTGAATCACGGTATGCCCAAAAAATTGTCAGTATAAATTTACCATCCTGATCTCGGTCATTATTGAATGCATCTTTTAATACAATATTGCCCACAATGCTTTCATCATTACGCAAAGTTTTAAGAAGTAATTCGATCTCACTTAAGCCTTGTAATTTATACTTATGCTAACAGCTTACTGCATTATATATATCAGGTTTATAAATATATCTTGAGCTAATTGAATTTAATACCAAAAAGATATCCTTTTGTTCTAAGTCCATTATTATAGAGTTTTTCTACCAAACCCAGATCATTTTTATCAAGTTTTCGAGCAACAGTATTGAACTTTGTAGCATCTATACAAGTTTCATAATTATGCTTAAGATTTGACTTAGTTATAACAAATTTTTTAATTCGCTTACAATAGTTTATACTAATTGCAAATGGACATCCAATATGTTTTGTTGTATATTTATCTTTTGTTCTTCCATATTTTCCTTGTTTTTCACATATGAAAAGTGCCTGTTTATAACTTCTGCCATTAGAATTTTTTGTTGATCTTCCTATTATTATAACAGTATTTGTTTGCATTGTATATTTTTCAATTGTTGCTTGAACTTCTGCGAAGGTATCAAATTCACTTTCAGATTTAAGAGCACTGAGATCCATTATTGTATATTTTTAATGAATGCTATCGCTTAATATTCAACAAGTAATGACTTTTAATTAGAGTATTTTATACTCTGTCTAAAAAATGCAAAATAAAGTAAAAATTATAGAACAAACAATTTTAATTGATTTTTTTTTTTTACAGAAAAAAACTTGCTTTACTCTTTATTGTATTTCTCTTTGAATTGCTGTTCTCTTTATTCTAAATTTGGTTCTTTTGTCTACACATTCTAATTAGGAAGAATTTTGTACAAGAATAGTTGCAAAAATTATCTTCCTTCTTACTATTTCCTAATTCAGTTGTTTTACCTGATCGGAAAAAGTCTTGTACAGAAATTTACTTGTCTTTCTCTATTTATTATTTCAGTATTTTCTAATACAGTTATTCGCTCATTATAATCAAGGAAAAGCTTTCATTAAGGTAGTGCGGTAAAGTTTACTTGTATTACAATCAAACAAGGTGTGTAAAACAAATCATAAAAAGAGATCGATTGATTGGAAAAAGTCAAATACTTAGAACAATAAGGTAGCCATAAATTCAAATTTAGATGTGACCAAGAGTTAACTGATTCTTGAAAAAAGTTGTATGCTTAAATTTTTAATCATGACGAAGAATTATTCCTGGGAAAATTAGGTATTTACAGAGTTACAAGCGATTAATTACATATCTAGTAATGACGATCTATAAGTGATCTAATAATGACATCTACGTACATAAAACAAAGTCAATCATAAAAATCTAACATTTTTATTGGTCAATCCGAATTGAGGTACACAAGGTTACACAAAACTGAGGTATATAAAAAATTTCCGTTTTCTATTTTATCAGACGAATTATTAGTTGGTATATTCTCTCACACTGCGCTTTAGTTAAACATGAGACCATTAATCTATACTCTAAAGTAGGTATGAGAATTGCATTGTTTACGTATATGATCTGGTTCAAAGACATCCATTTGTGTTTGAGTAAGCTTATGATCTTGCCTACTATGCTTTTTGCTTTAAATATATCAGACTTTTTTTGATTTTTAATTGACATCCAGACCCCTAAGAATCTTGTCGTTTCTTTAGGATCTTTTGCTATAATTCTGATTTTCGGATTGCCCATCCAGATTACTAAGTTTTCTGTATGCTTCTTTTTACCCAGTTTTAACACCATGAGTTCAATTTTGTTTGGATTTATTTCAATATCATTTAACTTATAAAACTCTTGTGTAATGTCAATTGTACTTTGCATGCTTTTTTGGCTATTTGTTAACCACATTATATTGTCTGCATATGCTAACACTCCTACTCTAATATTTGCTTCAGTGTTCTTTGAATTCATGTGTGTTTCTGTGTTATACATTTTGTAACCTAACTCAACTTTTTGTACCCTACAAAGCAAAGAATCATAAAAAATCCTTTAAACCAATGGAGACAGTACCTCTCCTTGGTCTATACTATCTCTTGCTTTTATAAAGTTTGTATTTCCAAACTCTGTTATAATGCTAAGCTGCCTATTCTCATATAGCTCTATTATTATCTCAATTATTTTCATTAGAATTTTAATTCTTTCTAAAGCTTTTTTAAGTGAGACTATACTAACTGAGTCAAAGGCTTTCTTCATATCTTGAAACATGACCCAGAGCTCTTTTTTTTTTTTTACTGCTTCTTCTATTATATTGTTCATTATGTGTATAGGAGTCGATGTTTTGCCACCTTTTTTAAACACATCATGAATTAAATAATAAATTGAATTTTAATTGAAATTAATTTTTTTTATTTAAACATCATTTTTTTTAAATCTGTTAAATATTTATATAAATTAATTAAACAAAAAATAATTAATTTGTTAGATAAAATAATTTTACATCAAAAAAATATAAAAATTACAATTATCCAATCCGAAAGTCTCTTTTACTATTATCTCATTATCTGGATAAAGAAACTATTTCTCAACAAAATTTAATTGACCTCAAAAATATAGAGTTAACTTTTAAGAAAAAATGAGATAAATGAGAATATTTTTACGATTTTTAAAAAAACAACAAAGATTGGTTCGATTTTTGTATTATACCTGATTCTGACATTAACCATAGCTGCCGCAACAAATTTGGACTAGCAGATTCTTGATTTTGATTAGCTAAAAGCAACAATCAAAAGAATTAGCTGGAATTACTCATAATTTTACTAATAAAATCATAACCGCCTATTAAGTGAAAACTGTTCCTGAGACAATTTTATCATAATGCGGGCTTATTTTTTAAGAATTTCTATTTTTGTAATGAAAAAATTAAAAAGGTAATTCTGGCCAGAAATTAGTAAATAATTTTGTAATGTGGGCCAAAATTTTGAAGATACTCAGCCATTAGCCAATCAAAATCGAGAACCTGCCTTGCGGCAGCTATGGTTAATGATCCAGACATTACTGCGGATTATTAATTGTATTGGTAAAATTGATGTGGTGTTAGCACTAACTGGTGTGATTTAGTAGAACCGACTTTTTTTTATAAAAAAATTTTATTGTTATAATTAAAATTAGAATTAAAGTTAGGGTAGTGGAGAGTAAAATTGCAGAGGAGCATTTTAATATAGTTAAACAACAAAGGTTACCTTAGTAAAATTTTGGTTTGTTATAAAAATTATAGAATACTGCTACATGTAGCCATGACTGCAAATAAATTAATCCATAACTACTGTATGAGTATTTATTTTTTATTTTGAATAAGATTTGATATTTCAATCTTAAGCTATTTTACATATTTTTATAATAGTAATTAGAAATCTTGGATCATGAATAAGAATGAAATATAATTTGCAAATAATAAAAGCAGTTGACATTTAATAAAAAGTACATTATTTATATTGTCTATCTCAGATCAGATTCAGCGCACATCAGGAAATTTTTTTAGCAGATGACCATCGATTACTAATCAATAATCGTTTATTATCGATGAAAAAATATCGATAATCATCGGTATAGGTGATTATAAACAATGATCATCATTTATCGATTTAACTCTAAATGATTATAAATGATGAACATATTTATCGATTTAACTCTGATCAATGATCATCCAGTGAAGGTTTTTTTTTAGAGTTTCACTTTAACCGGGTTAATGATTTAGACATTATTATTATTATTATCTACATTTACCGGTCAAGTGTAATGTCAAAAGGATAGTTTTACTGGTATAATTTATTCTAACAAAAATTTTTGTTATACAAAGCAGCGATAGTATAGAAACAAATAAAA